GGGCGAGAAAAGCGCTGTTCGTAAGTACGGATCCGACATAAATCGGATCCGCGTAACCCGGGGACTGCCTGTACTTTCAGAATGTTTAAGAGGAAGAGCTGTAGGAAAGCCTACAGACTGCCACAGATTTATGCCTAGCAATGCAACTCTCCTGACAGAGAGAGAATGCTAACTATCGTTTCTACAAGAACATGTTGGAATGAATACAGGACAGTGTTGTGACTGGATTAGCCAATCTTGTATGGAAAGGGAATATTGGATGCCACAATGTGCAGTGCTTACTACTTCAAATTAAAGAAGAGGAAGGAGGGGCATACTGAAAGATTTTGTTGGATAAACATAGCAGCTGCTCTGAGGGGTAGTTTCGCATCCACTGTAGATAGTAGTGGGAATATATGTTCTTCGGGTGATGTCCCCATATGGGTGTTCCACTGTTGCTTTAATCTCTCAGATTCTCCATCACATTCTCTGATGGAGTTAAAAAAGGAAAAAGAAACCAACAACAACAAACAAGGGATCGGAGGGGGAAGAACAGTAGGGCTGTCCGAGTCCAAAAATCACTCAGCATGCCCTCCCCCAATGAGTTCAAGAAATGTATAAAGTGCATTCCCCCTCCAATCCTTTGTTGTTGGTTTCTTTTTCCTTTTCGTTTTTTTAATTCCGTTTGGGAGATTAAACTAACAACAGTGGAGCACCCACAAGAGGACTTGAACAGTTGTTGAGGAGGACTTGAACAGCTGAACACCTTCAACAGTTGTTACTGCACAAGGTAACTTTCTTTTCCTAATTTTGGAGTGAGGTTGGTGTCAAGAAAGCCCAGATTAATTCTAATCCCTCCCACTGAACTATGGGAACAAAAATCCCCCATGATGATCAGACAAAATCTGACATACCTCCTCTTGGTTTTATAAGAACCTCTCTATTAGTGTTGCAAGGTGGACTTAATTGCGCTTAGATGTGGTTCATTCAAAAGAGGAAAAAGGGAAGATGAATGGACTTTTAATCTTATAGCAATCCTTGAATGCAGGTCTAATAAAATAGAAAGCATGCTTAAAGCAGAACAAAGACTTTCCTTCTAACTAAAGGAGGCTACGTTACAGGGAGGTGAACTTTTTAACATATATACAGGCAGTCCCTGGGTTACATGGATCCGGGTTACATCGGATCCCTACTTACAAACGGGGTGAGGCAACCCCGCACTAGCTGCTTCCCCCCAGCAGACCAGGGAGACACGAAGCTAGCGCCCCCCTTCCCCCCCCAGACCAGGGAGCGGCTTTTCTCAGCAGACACCTCAGCTTGAGAATAAAGGACTGAGGGAAGTGAGGTGTGGGAGAATAAAACTGAGCTCTGGAGAAATGTTTGGCTAGAGTTTCCCCTACAGTATGTACCAGTTCCGACTTACATACAAATTCAACTTAAGAACAAACCTACAGTCCCTATCTTGTACGTAACCCGGGGATTGCCTGTAGTACAATGGGAGTTTTCCACATGTTGGCTAATCTTTGTTGATCTGACCTTAATTGAGGGCTGCAAGAATTTGTCAATTGGTAGACAAATTATCAAAGATCAGACTGAAGTAACATCTTTCTAACAGTCTAAACTTACACACGTAAGAGGTTTCAGAGTAACAACATAATACAGGTTGGACCTCCCAGAGCTTGCACCCTTGAAACCTGACCAGTCCCAAAGGAGGGAGTTTGCCAGACCAGGGCAAGGTCAATTCTACCCCTCTGCTGATGGACTCTGGGTTCTCCTGGGGTCTGTCAGCCCACCCAGCAGGGCAGTAAAGGGGCTCCCTAATTCAGGGATTCTTTAGTTGGATGTTGCTGAAACAGAAAGGTTCAACCTGTAAATGCAGCGCTTCAAAATGCACTAGTGCTTCGGTTTCATGAAGGCGTCCTGGATCAAATATTTTGGCTACCTTAGTTCTCCGTAGATAACTGAGCACATTAGGCTTGGAGAGACTCACTTACATTCTCTGATGGGAGCCATGAAGACTGTAATGTTTAGAATTAATTTTTTGGCTGTATCCTAAAGGTTCCTTCATAGTCTATATATTGAAGTTTGGAATAAATATAAAGGACTTACTTCCTGACTGAAATTGAGGACCTGTTTGCAAACTCGCCTATAAAGTGGCTTTTCACACTGAATTGTGAGAAAATGAGCTATTAGAATTAATCTGAGCTATCTTCACTTTATTTCCAGGGGTAAAAAAAATTAGCACTGATCTGCTGAGAGAGGGAGCCCCTATAGAACCAGACCCTCCAGTATCTCACTGGAAACCAGAAGCTGTGGTAAGTTTGTTACTTATATATAAATCTGTTTATTTCACACCATCTTTAATTAACTGTACTTTGTTCATGTAGTTGTGCAGGTTGTATATTCTAGGCCAGGTGTGGGCAATAATTTTTAATGAGGAACCATTCCAAGACTTTGGCAAGTGGTCAAGGGCCTCATTTCTGTGGATGGAATTTGGGGCCTGGGACAGAGGTTGGGTGCAGGAGGGCGTTTGGGAGAAGGAGTGGGTTGTGATCTGGGGCAGAGGCTTGGGGTGCAGAGTCCAGGAGGGAGTATGGGTGCAGGAGAGGATTCTGGCCTGAGGGAGGGGCACTAGGAGGGGGTGCAGGATCTGGGAGGGAGCTGTGACCTGGGGGAAAGGGATACAGAGAGGTTGGGTGGTGGGCACATAGTTGGTGGGAGATAAGAGGGTGGGCTGGGAGGTACTTACCTAGGCAGCTGCCAGTCAGCAGCCCTATAGGAACCTGAAGGCTGCAGTCGCAAACTGCTCCATGTTTTTTGTCTGTTCCGGCAGACTGAAGTGGGGGGGAGAAGGAGGAGGTTTAATTGACTGCCCCTGACACCAGCAACATATCTCAGCTATGACTGGCCAGTTTCCGACCAAATGGGAGCTGAGATATTTTGCTGAGAGGTGTGACAGAGCACAAAGCCTCCTTCCTCATTCCCACAATAGAATAGCCACATTCAAAGCGGCTGCCACTGGAGGATGCCAGTGAGGCAGCTGTGGGCTACATCCAGCCTGCTGGTACCCTCTTGCCCACCCTTGTCCTAGGCCTTGGATCACTCCATATCTTTTACTAGTGATGCAAAATCCTGCTTAAAATGTTAATTAGTTAAACTATGTTTAACCAGTTAACTTGCCTGCTGCTGGAGTGCTTCCTTAGAGATATGAATGAGTAGTTGACCACCCAATAAGCAGGACCTTATCTGGTAGCAATATCGACTATTCTGTTCCTTCCCCATCCTTGTGTTGTTGCTTTTCACTCTTAAAGGGACAGAGCAGCTGGCATGCAAAGATGCTGACTCATTCTCTGGTGGGTTCCCCCCAGGACTACCTCCCCTCCCTGCTGCCATTCTGCATTCTTAAAGGGACAGAAGCAGCATGCCATCCCATGGGTGTGTCTCAGTACAAGCCCTCCTGCTTGCCCCCTCATTGCTACTCTGTATTTTTAAGGGGACAGAGCAGTGGCAGCTGGTCTGTGGTCTCTCTCATCACAAGCTTCCCCACCCCGCACAACTGCTGCTCTGCACGGATGGACTGCTGCTTCTGTACCTTTAAGATCTCAGAGTAGCAGTGGACGGGGCTGCAGGAGGAGGGTGGGGGCACTTGTGCTGAGACACCCATGGGACCAACTGCTGCTGCTCTGTCCCTTTTAGAATGCAGAGGGGCAGCTGAAGGGCCACAGTGTTACCCTGAGACCCTGGCGGGGGACTAAAGACTTAGCCAGAATCTTTGCATGCGGGCTTCTCTCTGTCCCTTTAAGAATGTAGAGTGGCAGTGGGGGAGGGAAGGGGGCTTGTGCTGAGACCCAGAAATGAGTGCTGTAGCTGACCTTCCTTAATGACTAGTTGATGAAAATTCCATCGACTACTCAACTAGCAAATTAATCACTACTTAACATCACCAAGTGCCTCCACTCCCATAATGAGACTGAGGGCTCCCCACACCTCTGGCTATGGTGCAATGGGCATGGCCAAATCAGGTGCCAGTTAACCGGTTACCAGTAGGCATCACCTTTCACCCATCCTCTATTTAAAATATTTGTTTATAGATTTAAATTTCCTTTAGTAATCTGGCAATATTCTATTCACTACCTGGACAGGTTTGAGGACTACTTATTTTCCCCTCAAAGATTTATAACTATCTACAGCTATTCTCTGCTGGCTAGAGCTATTACAAGGAACCCCTGGCTAGAGCTATTAGGCCAGCAGGAGAGCTCTCTGCCATCAGCTTACAGCAGAGAATAGCTGTAGCCTTAGATAGTTATAAATCTTTGAGGGGAAAATAAGTACGTGTACCCCAGGTGGTGCGAGAAGCTTGTCAAGGGGATACGTGGAATATTTGATAAATAACTAGATTATCCTAATTGTATTCCAAAAGTAGTAGTGTTAGTGAAAAAAGTTGTGGATTCTAGAGTCTAGAATTTATTTCCTTTCATATTGAATAGGGGGTACAGGAAGGTTTTCTAAAAGCCAAGAGGGTGCAGGGACCAAAAAGGTTGGGAACCCCTGCTCTAGCCTGTGAGCTGGAGTACTTATGCCAGCAGAAAAAAGCTCTCTTGCCAGCACAATACTGTCCAACACTGTGTATGTTGGCATAAATTGTCAGTCAGGATACTGGCTAATTTACACCGTGACATAATGTATGTCAATTGAAGCAGTAGTGTAGCCGCAGCCTAAAGCAGCACCCCATTTTAAAGGTGCTGGTAGCTTCATTGGTTAGTATGATGTGTTTGTGTCTTAATTACATACTCTCTCTTGTCATTAGCAGTATTATGAAGATGGGGCTCGTATTGAGGCTGCTTTCCGAAACTATATTCATAGGGCTGATGCAAAGCAGGAAGAGGACAGCTATGAGATTTTTGTTTGTCATGCCAATGTGATCCGCTACATAGTTTGCAGGTAATTCGAATGACCAAATATCCACCTGCATATTTAAATGTCAAACCTTTAACCTTTTAAAATTGGGTTAGTGCATTGCACTATTTCTAGTGCATTACAGATTAAAAAATCAGTTCGCAGGTTTGATGTGACTAAAGATGAGTGCTTGATTTTTGAGCAACTGTGCTTAACATATGATTAGTAGATTAATCTACAGACATGAAAAAAGGATTTTAAAATTTTCAACATCCTATGCAGAATTAATTCTGCAGTAAAAATGAAAAGACTAGTACAGATTACTGAGAATTGAGACTGGGTTTTTTTTCAAGATTTTATATTATCAGATCATTAATACTGTCACAGAATACTCTAGATTTTTGCACACAACTTTACTGTCAAACATGGACAAATACAAAATGTTTGTAGAGTAATAAACGTTTAATTTTATGCAGGTCTTGGTGACATGCAGGTATTTTGAGGTGGCTTTCAGTTGGGCTCAGTCTTGATTATAATGGAACTAGTATCTTGGTGTCAGCAGTTCAGGACTCCTGCAGCTAAATATATTTTATTTTCCAAAAGCATTTAATGTTTGTGAAAGGGGAAAAAATTCCTTACTGCATCAAGGTGACTTTGGTACTGGGGAGGAACAATGTTAGGTCTTTACCCACCACAGTGTACCAGGCTATTTTTCACTACAAGCTCTGGCCTAACAAATTATTTGTCTTTTGGGCAAGACAGTTGCCATTTACAAGCACCAAAATGTTCACAATATTCTATTCTGGGAAGTAGATACTCTGCTAAAACATTAAATCTGTGTCTTAGTACTAGAGTTTTTAAAAGCACCAGAGAGGATATTAATGTAGTTTACAGCACAACATTACTTATTGGCAATGTAAACTAAGCTATTTTCCCTTCATGGAAGAAAGATGAGATTAGAGCCAGACTACTTTTCTGCTCCATCGGAGGAAATTATATCTCATCATCTTCACTGACTTCCTGCAAATCTATGAATTCAATTCATTTTCCTGCCAGGTTTCCTAAAGTTCTCAGTGGTTAATCCCATCTCCTTAATTTTATGTCCTCCTCACTGTGAACCTCAGGCCTTAAATCTTCTCTGCTCGACAACTCTCCAAAGCTGAGGACTCTGTTTAAATTATATTTGGTTCCCTGTCACTCCGTTCCCTCCCTGCTTTCTATTTTTAAGATTAGTTTGATTTCAGCTGCTAAACACTTCTTGCACTCTGTGGAAATCCACAATCTAAATAACTGATATTTGGTCTTGATGTTTGTGGCTATTAATGGTTTGAGCTGCTGCAATTGAAGCTGTATTTTTACATTGACACAGTATTCTAATGTTGCCTCCAGATGTTGTACTATAATTTGTGTCAGTTTGTTAGTTTACAATCACCAACCCCCCAAATTACTTACCTAATTAGAACTGGGAAAGGACTCCTAAATGAGAGCCTCTATATACAATTTGTCCTTTCCTCTAGGAGTATCAGCTGTTTGTTAGCTGCCTTTCCCCTGAAAATCTTTCACTTCTAGGAAAGTTAACACAATACCATATACCAAAGTTGAAACCTTCTGCACTGGCTCCATGGTCTTGAATCTTGAGCAGTTGTCACCTGTTTATTAGGTTACTCAAAACACTCCTGGCAACATGGATACAGGGTTTTTGAAGCTTTTGATGTCTGTTTGAACTAATCCTATCTACGTTAATCATATCCATCTGTTACACTATTACAAAAGCCTGCTGGGGTCCTGGATCCAAAGCCATATATGCTTTCATTTTGAATTTATAGCTGCATCTGCACAATATGAAAGACAGTATTAGGCACAAATTCTGCATGTGAGTTGCTTACTGTACAGATTGATGGCTCTGTTAATTGTTCTAGATTAAAAAATTATATACAGTAGTGTTGTCAGATGCATGCTAATTTTCATTTATGCTTGTGGATTAAACTGCTGTAATTGCTTTCTTTTTTTTATAGAGCATTACAGTTCCCCCCAGAAGGCTGGCTTCGGATGTCCCTTAATAATGGCAGTATAACCCACTTGGTGATCCGTCCTAGTGGAAGAGTGGCACTTAGAACTCTTGGAGACACAGGATTCATGCCTCCGGATAAAATCACACGCACCTGACTGTGCAGGTGATGGCCATCTTGGAGCTGCCTTTAGTCTTGCTGCCCTAATAAATCCAACTACAGTACCACTAAATTGTATTTGTAAATCAGGGTATGATGCAGTTTTAAAGTTGTACTTTAACACCCTCTGCATCCATCACAGACTCAGTCTGCTTTTAAGTCCAGAAAAGAAGACCTTGCATTGCTTCAGCATTCTATGGATTTTATTTTTCCCATTTCATAAAACCAAGTGTGACGACTCCCTGCTCTGAGACGTGGAACAGGAAAAGACTGATAAAAGAATCTTTATGCTTTCAAAAGGTTCAACACATCTGCCTGTAAAGTGAAAATTTCTCTGCTGCCTTCAAAATTTGCTCTAAGAGATGGGATTTTATACTTTCCCTGTACTGGTGCACAAAACAGTACAGGCACAGCAGCAGGTGTCCTTTATCACACTGCACTTGATCTTAAAGATAAGCAACTCTGGTAGAAAAGAGGATTAGATTTTCAGTTAGGTGAGGGAATTTCTCTATATTGAGGTAAATGGTTGAGGTTTGGTGAACGGATTCCTGAGGTAAATCGTTGAGGTTTGGTGAACGGATTCCTATGCTATAGTGGGATATAATATAACTACTGGTGCTGTCCCTTATTGAAATTTATGTCTTTATCAAACAGCGGGCATACTGAAAGGAGGACAGAAACATAGAGCTGTGGTGTTAGAAATATTGGAGAGTGACTGCATTGCTCTCTGCTTGGGAAGTTCATTTCCCTAATTCTGAAAAATAATCGTAGCAACTGTATCTCACAATGGCAGAAGTCTTTTAACTTTCCTTCTGGAGCAGGTACAATGTTTAATAACTTATTCCATAACCTAGTTTTGTAATGCTATTTTGCTCTTAGTCCTGAATGGGGCTTGTAGAAGAGCATTCTGAGGCAGTGATAGACTTGTTGGTGAAGTAGTGCAAGTGCTTACTTATGCAGGTAAAATTTGTGACTGAGAATAAACAGTTTATCTACACTCACTTCCACATCACCCAGACTTCTCCAAGTACCTTTGTCATTGCTTATTGATGCTGTTAATTCATGTCTGCCTTGACACTCCAGTCACTAGTAGAAAGTTGGGGAAAAAATTGTGGTGCTATACTCATTTTATGGCAAATTAATATGGTAGTTAAAGGTGAAATAAGTTTTTGGGAAGTTTTTTGCTTTCTTCCAACATCCAGTCAAATTAGCACAAGGCTCATGCTAAGTAACTAGATATTTATTTTAACAGGATTTGCACTAGAACAAGTTTGCCAAGTTAGTATCTAGAATTTGTCCAAATTATGTGAAGTTTTAAATCATGAAACTCAACACCTAGCAACATATGCAGTTGAAACTAAACTCTCTCCAGGCTGTTTAATTCAGTTGTTAGAGAGAGCTGGCTTAGTTCAGTGAAACGGATTACTAAAGAATATAACTTTGTATATGGGGGGGAAAAAAGGGGAAGGGAATTGTCTTCAGCAATCACTACAGGAAACTGGAATAACTGTCAAATTTTAAACATTTGAATAAAAATGTGTGGTCTTTGTGTAGAATTTAAAGTGTATGTGGACTCAACTAGTCATTCTTACTTTCTAACAATAAAAGTATTTCAGGTTTAGGAGTGTTGTAAGTGAAAGTGAGTATTCCTTGTTATAGGCACAATGGAAAAAGTTGGCTAAATGAGACCAAAAATACAATTTAGAAAATAGACAGAGCCTGGTCCTAATCACCAACAGTATTTACAAAACCATTTCATTGAAACTGGACAAACACCTTATTTAGTTCATGGAGGAACAGCCTGTGAGTTACCTATTTGTTATTTCCTAAATAACAGCTACAAACAAAGCTCTGGATTATCAGCATTGCTGCCATGTTAGAATATGGAAAATTGTCTAACTAAAAACACTCTTTGAAGTATTTTAGAATCTTAAGAGTGATAATTTAAAATCTAGGAAGGATTTGAAATATCTGCTACTTTTATTTGAGAGGACCAGGAATATGCTTCCTTCCCGTACACATCATTCAAGCTCTTCAGTGCTGGTTACCCTTAAACTGAGGGGGAGAAGGAATTTCTTGTAGTTATCCTGTACCAGCTCAAATTTTCAACCAGTTTTCACTGTTCCTGTAAAATAACGTGCCCGGGGCCAGCGCCCCCCCCCTCCAAGTGCTGCGTGCCCGAGGCCAGCGCCTCCTCCAAGCGCCGCGTGCCTGGCCAATTCACCCAGGGCTGGCTCCGGCACCATGTGTGCGCCACGTGCCCAGGGCCAGGCCAGCCCCAAGCACTTGGTGGGTGCACACGAATGCCCCCGCGGGTGCCATGGTGACCATGGGCACCGAGTTGGGGACCACTGGGCTAGATGGACCTTTGGTCTGACCCAGTATGGCCGTTCTATGTTCTTAAGGGTAGAGAATCAGTTACTGGAAACTACATTTCAATGTCCATGAGCCTATGGGTAGCTGTATGGTCAGTTTAACCAGCTGTCTCAGCATATGCTTCATCTCGTCTGTAGCTCCCCACGACCTCCTTTCCATAACTATACCCACTAATGAGCACTGCCAGAAAAATCTCATGCAAAAGTATACAAGGAAGCCTAGCTTACAGTAGCATATGGGCTACATTTTAATAGTTTTTTTTTCTAACAATTTGACAGCTCCTTACAATTAGCAGCCATCACATTCTAAAGCCCTAAGAGGGAAGTATAGAACAGCTCGCCAAAAACTCAAGTACAGTACATCAGGAGGAGGAAATCTGCTAAATCAACAGTGGGGTCACTAGATGATTGAGATGCTAAAGCAGTATTCAAAACACTTGATAAGGTCATTGCAGAGAAACTAAATGAATTCTTTGCACTGGTCTTTATGGCTCAGAACGTGAGGGAGATTTCCAAACATGAGCCATTTTTAGAATACAGCTAAGGAATTCTCATATTGAGGTGTCATAGGAAGTTTTAGAACAAACTGATAAACAGTAGTTTCAGTGGGATAGCTGAATTAGTCTGTAAAAGGAAAAACTTAAACAGTCTAGTAGCATCTTAAAGACTAACAAAACATGTAGATGGTATCATGAGCTTCTGTGAGCATAACCCACTTCTTTAGATGACTGGAGTATAAGTAGTCCAGATCCAAGAATATATAAGGGAAGGAGGGGAGGAAGAGAAAAAAAGTAAACAATACTAAGGCACCAGGCCCACAGGGTATTCATTCAAGATTTCTGAAGGAACTCAAATGTGAAATTGCAGAACTAACAACTGTGGTTTGTATCCTAAATTATCTTTACCAAATGACTGGAAGATAGCTAATGTGACACCAATCTTTAAAAACAGCTCCTGAGACGATACTGGAAATTGCAGATCAGAAAGTTTAACCTGGCAAATTAGTTGAAGCTATACTAAAGTATAGAATTGTTAGAAATATAGATGAACATAACTTGTTTCAGAAAAGTCAATATGGTTTCTGTAAAGGGAGATCATGCCTTACTAGAGTTCAAGTCCATCAACGTGCATGGACAAGGGGATCCAATGGATATAGTATACTTTGATTTCCAGAAAGCCTTTGACAAGGTCCCTCACCAAAAGCTCTTAAGTAAGTTGTCATCGGAGGAGGGAAGGTTTTCTCCTGGATGTCATGATAACTGGTTAAAAGAGAAGACATTCAATAGGATCTCACAAAACTAGGAGAGTGGGCAACAAATGGCAAATGAATTTTATAGTAATGCATAGGGGAAAACAATCCCAACTATATGTACAAAATGATGGGAACTAAATTAGCTATTATGACTCAAGAGGGATCTGGGAGTCTATGGCTAGTTCTCTGAAAACATCTCAATGTGCAGCAGATTCAAAACAAACAATTCTAGGAATAATTAAAAAAGAGATGGAGAATAAGACAGAATACCTCATTGCCTCTGTATAAATCCCTGGTACACCCACATCTTGCATACTGCGTACAGATGTGGTCACCATCACAAAAAAGATACATTAGCACTGGAAAAGGTTCAGAAAAGGGTGATAAAATGATTAGGGGTTTGGAACAGCAACCCCATAAAGAGAAATTAAAAAGACTGGGACTTCCCCCCTTAGAAAAAGAGAATAAGGGGGTATGATAGAAGTCTATAAAATCATTATTGGGGTGCAGAAAGTAAAAAAGTAAAAGTTATTTACTTGTTCCCAGAACATAAGAACTAGGAATCACCAAATGAAATTAATGGGTAGCAGGTTTAACACACAAGGAAGTACTTCACACAATGCACAATTTGAGGATCTTCTTGCCAGAGGATGTTGTGAAGGCCAGGACTTAAACAGGGTTAAAAAAGAGCTAGATTAATGCATGGAGAATAGGTCTATCCAGCTAATAGCAAGGATGGGTAGAAATGGTGTCCTTAGCCTCTGTCAGAAGCTGGGAATGGGCAACAGGTGGGATCACTTGATGATTCCCTGTTCTGTCCATTCTCTCTGGTGGCACCTGGCATTGGCCACTGTTGGAAGACAGGATACTAGGCTAGATGGACCTTTGGTCTGACCCACAGCACAGTCGATCTTATGTATTAATGATGAACTGAAGCATGACATTGCTACATGAAAAAAAGGACTGCCCTCCAAAAAAAACAGACACACAATCCCCTATAGACACTATGGCTGGTTCATGATTTCACACAAACACTAAACTCAAAAATATTCACATCATTACAACAGTTTAAAAGCATCTTTGACCATCTAAAACAACACAAGCTCAAGTTCCAGATGATGGGCATCTTGAAAATCCCCACTATATATAATCATTAGCAGGGTATCTCATGCTGAATATTTTGTGCACTTTATTTACTCCAGCACAAATTACATACACAGTATTGACAGAACCATAAATACAGTTAGGAAGGCCAGAGCACATACAACATATCTTTGCACATTCTGAAATCAGCATTTGTATTGGCACTAAGGTTTAAAACCAAAAGAATTAAATTAATATAAAAATTAAGCTGGCAATATAATATCCCTGTTTAGAGTATAGATTTTGTACCATGAAAATACCCCTCTGCTCTCAACAACAGGGAGCATAAATTACCCCCTTTCCCTAAAGATAGGCATTTCTTTTAAATGTCAAAAGTGCAGTGATCAAGGGACAAAACTCACATCTTGCAGATTGTGAAATATTCCAAACTTTTAGTTTTATGTCCCCCAATTGAGGCACCCATTAAATTTAATCATAAAAATAAAGCTTTGAAGATATGTGGTATCTAAAAGAAAGATGTTTTATTTATATCACACAGCAAAAATGCTGCATTCAATTTCACAACATGAATGCATATTCCCAATTACCATTACCTTATATCACCTTAACTACACATTTACTTTGAATGGAAAGAATAGCAGCTGAACCTCAGCACTTTTATGTCATACTGACAAATAATGTGAAGATCCTTTGCACCGGAGATCAACTATTACCCAAAATAACAAAAAAAAAAATTCATGAAACAGTCCCAGTCTAGATTTAGTATCAGATGTTCTTCTAAAAGGTTTTCCAAGACTGTGAATAAACAAATTGTTTATTTCTAAAGAAATGAATTATTGTATTAAAAATTTACTTAAAAACTGAGTACACCACAGACTAAAATGCAAATTTGATAAGACATTTGTCACAAAGTGTTCTCTCCAAATCCCCTCCCCCACAATCCCAAACAAAAATGTTACAAACTGGTAGAAGTTTGTGCCAGAAATTTGGATTTTAATACAAAAAAGCATATAACAAGTGTAAAAGAAAAGGACAGAAAATAGTAATAAAGCATCAATTTCTCAGTCTCCTGAATTTCTTTTACCAAAGTTTTTAAGCTATTTGTAAACAGGAATGCAGCTTATATCATTGATATAAATAGGATTTTCCATCATTTGGAGGGCCACTGCCTTAGATGTTGGAAGTACTGGGAAAAAAATATAATGCAGTAATTGGTTTATGTGTTAGCACCAGTACAACTAATTGTGAAGTGTTTTCAGCTTTTGTATATATACACACATATGATTTATGAGTAAAATAATTACCTGCGTATCTGGACAGACTGGATAATTACTGCACAGTCCAAAAAGTTTAGAGAAATTGATTTTTAATAATTTAGAAGTTAAAGCAACTGAAAGTGTAGACTCCTACAGCAACTTAGTTTAATAACTGCTGGAAAAGATACTACTACTATAGTAGGTTTTATTGGAGAGTTCCACAATAAAGCAACTTCAGTGGATAATATTTGAATGATGGTCAGTTGTTAGAAGCTAGTGGTTCATTCCTAACGTTCAGCTCGTAGTAATCTATTAATTTCCATTTAAGTCATCTGTAAAAACATAGTTCCAAAAATACATCTATAACTCCGAAGCCCAGAGCTATTTCACCAAAACGATATGCAGAAAGAACCTTTAAAATACTTTTTCATTCAATCTTAGAGGGAAAACTATATTTTAAGTTCCCACATGAGTGGATGCCTCTTTTAAAACCATAAACAAAAATGCTAAATTTAAAATTGTTACAAAAGGCACCGTTAAGCTTGCAAAAGCATTAAGTGCAGTTTTAAAGTTTGTACCAAACAATGAATATATTTAGGATAGGATACAATGTGTATAAAACAGTCATTTTACTCTAATGTGCAACAGCTACCAACACAGCTGTGTTTTATATAATTTAATCCAGTGTCTGTGATGTAAAGGTCCCACAGTTGGATACCAATATACTATGACATCCTATTTACTGTTAAGATTCCTTGAGATACTTCTATGCATGTTACAAAAGCTCATTGAGGTTCTATTTTTTCCTTGCAACGTTGGGGATAGTGTTCTCAACTAGTATAACAACAACCCAACTCTCAAAATCTACATCCCGGGTATTCTGTTTCAAGTTTAGAAACATTTCCACTATCTGATGAAAGGACTAACTTTAAAGAATACTGAGGAATTCAATTATTTTTAATTGTTGCTAAAAAAATAAGTTACTATAACTAGACTACAGACCGTAAGAATTTGTATTTCAATAAAAACTGTCTCAGTCTTTATTTATCCCATCAATAAGGAAAGGAACCTCCTTCATGAATTTCTGTTTATCTCCAAAATATATCACATTAAATTGGACCATTAACAGATCACTGGCCAACTTAAAATTATTGCTGTTGTGCTTGTGTGTAATTATTAGTAAAAACTGCAAATGGAAAAAGCTTTGGTGAAAAAAAGCTGAGCTTTTATCTTCAGGATTTTTATTTTCAAAGTAACACAAACATAGATAATTAATGTCTACAGTGCTCTTTCCTTACAACGCTCAATCTCTGATATATTTTTATCATACTCAGAATGCAAAATGATCCATAACAGTTTCTCTGGCTACTCTTCATTTTAGATATTTTTTACTGTTTAAACTGAATTGTTGGCCATAGATGAATTCTTCCCTATTGGGCACTGAGAGTCAAATTCTTATTTGAACAGGAAAGAGAACTCAAGTTAATCTTTCAGTTTTTTAATTTGTTTTTTTCTGTTCAATGAAATATAAATGCTTTAGATTTCTTGAATGAGTTCCCTCTAACCTAGAATTCTATTTATTGATAAGATGCTTCACCGTTATCCAAGTGGGAAAAAATGCATTTGTGGGTTCATTTTTATTATCATATTTGGTCTACAGTCAATAACACCATTTCTTATAGGAATCACTAAATGAAAGGTTCAGATCATGGACTCCTGTTAAAAAGAACCAGGGTATTTATTTTATAATTACTGAACAGAAGTTAGCTTCGCTTACTTCTTGCAAATCACCAGTTATCTGGTACATGAAGTCAAGACTAAGTGAATATTTGTCCTCAAAATGAGGATAAAATAATCAAGGACACTTCCTCATGTCACTTTAGCAATGCTACAATTTTCTTCCTCCACTCTTGAAATGAAAATATAGAGTCCCAGGAAGATGAATCATGTTCTAATGGGCAGGAGGTCCTGACAAATGATGTAGTTTTAACAACAGGATATTGTTGGCATAAGCTGGACTATACCGCCCAGGACTCCCGAGATCTGGAAAAAATGAAGCAGCATTGCCATATTTCCCTGGGCTGCCCATCACTGGACTATTTCTTCTTGGGCTAGAGTACGTTGAACCATTTGGTGGGCCTGCTGAAAGAGGCTGGATCTTGAACCTTCCTTTCAATGCTGGACTTGACCAACTACAGGAAAATAAAAAGAATCACCATATGTATAATATTTCAGAAAATCTTAATGGGGTGAAAAATAGTTTATCAATAGCACCTGTGGGCTTGATGGGGATTCATCAGAAAATTTTCATAGATCAAGAGAGACAGACAGGACACAAAGAAAAACAAGTGAACAGCATATCAAGTCACACAGATATGACACTGGAACTAGCAAATGTCTTTTGCTCCAAAAGGGCTCATTTAAAAAAAATCTGTTTGTGCACATTTGATTGAAACTAAGGCTGTTGATTAATCACAGCTAACTCATGCTATTAACTAAAAAAGTTAATTGTGATTATTCGCAGTTCTAATTGCACTGTTAAAATAGAATATCAATTAACATGGTATTAAATATTTTGGATGATTTCCTATATGGATTTAAATTACAAATCAGAATACAAACTTGTACAAGTGACAACTTGATATTTTTCATTATAAATATCTGCACCTAAAAATGATAAAAGAAATAGATTTTTCATTTCACCTCATACAAATAAGTACTGTAGTATAATCTCTATCATGAAAGTACATATGACAAATGTAGATTTTTTTTGCACTCTATGCCAAAAATATACAAAACAATACAAGTCTCCTCAGTACTACTACTTGTTCAGGAAGTAACTTAATCATATTTGTTTACATTTATGGGAGATAATGTTGCACATTTCTTATCATGGAGCTGAATGACGAGTCGACTATCTGCTTACCACTCCACTTGCTGCCTCTATCAGAAAGAGGCAGTAAGGATGAGGAAGGGAAAAGAAGGTGCTTCAAAGCGGCAGCGCAAGGTGAACCCCAGGATCTGCCACTTTGAAACACTAAATTCAGCCCTCTTTGAAACACTACATTCAGCTGGCCCCAGGCTGCACACGGCATTTAAAAGTGGCAGCTCCACATGGAGCTCAGGGTCAGTGAGGGAAGCCCCAGCTGACCCTGGACTCATGCGGAACTGCTACTTTGAAATGCTGCAGGGAGTACAGGGCTAGCAGGGCACTGCTTGAGTCCCCGCTGGCCCTATGCTCCCTGCAGCACTTTCACCTTTGAAGTATAGCAAAAGCAATGGAAAGCTGTTACACTTCAAAGGCAGAGGTGCCCTTATCGTTCAATCGAATAGTTGATGCAAACTGCATTGAGTATTCGATTAGTCAATTAATCTAAATTTAACATCCCAACTTATTACAATGTCACCTGAAAGTGAGAACTGGTGTTGACATGGCACTCTTGTAGCCAGAATTACAAGGTATTTATGTGCCAGATATGCTAAGTATTTGTATTCTCCTTCATGCACTGGCCTCCATTCTAGCACGTCAATGCTGATGATGCTTGCGAAAAAAGTATTAATTAAATTTGTGTCAGAACTTCTTGGGGGAGAATTTTACATCTGCTGTTTTACCAACATCAGTCTCTGACAATGAGCCAGCACGCGTTTGTTTTAAGAACACATTCACAGCAGATTTGACAAAACACAAAGAAGGTACCAATGTGAAATTTCTAAAGACAGCTAAAGCACTAGACCTCAGGTTTAAGAATTGGATGTGCTTTCCAAAATCTTTGAGGAGTTGTGGAACATTCTATCAGAAATCTTAAAAGAACAACACTCCCAAGTGGAAACTATAGAACCCAAAGCACTAGAAAAGAAAATCAACCTCTGCTGGTAGCATGTAATTCAGATGATGAAAACAAACCTGTATTGGTTCACACTGCTTTGGAACAGTAATAGAAATGTAGCCGTGTTAGTCTGGTGTAGCTGAAACAAAAAACAGGACTGTGTAGCACTTTAAAGACTAACAAAATGGTTTAATAGGTGATGAGCTTGTGTGTGCCAGACCCACTTCCTCACATCAAATTGTGGAAGAAAATTGGCACGACCATATATACCAAAGGGATACAATAAAAAAAAAGTGAACACATGAAAAGGACAAATCAAATTTCAGAACAGAAGGGGGATAAGAAGGGGGAGGTAAATGTCTGTGAGCTAATGATATTAGAGGTGATAATTGGGGAAGCTATCTTTGTAATGGGTAAGATAATTAGCATCTTTGTTGAGACCTCGGCATAACATTACAGACATTTACAGGTCTTGCCAATTTTCTTCCACAATTTGATCTGAGGAAGTGGGTCTGGCCCACGAAAGCTCATCACCTAATAAACCATCTTGTTAGTCTTTAAAGTGCTACATAGTCCTGTTTTTTGCTTTGGAACACTGAACAGAACCCATCATCAGCATGGTAGTATGCCCTCTGGAACGGTGGTTGAAACATTAAGGGACATATGAATCCTTACCACATCTCTCATGTAAATATCTAGTGATTCCAGCTACAACTATGCAATGCAAATGCTTGTTCTCACTTTCAGGCAACATTGTAAATGCAAAGCAAACAGCATTATCTCCTGCAAATGTAAATAAACTTGTTTGTCTGAGCAACTGGCTGAAAAAGAACTAGGACTGAATGTATTTGGAGACTATAAAGTTTTACACTTTTATTTTTGAATGCAGTTGTTTTTAGGTACACCTTTAGGTACACATCTCTACATTTGTAAGTTCAGCTCTCAGATAAAGAGATTTCACAACAGTTCTTGTAAAGGGGCGAGACTAGGAATAAGGAAAAGTTATTTACTTGTTCCCACAACACAAGAATTAGTGTTCACCAAATTAAACTGCAGGTTTAAAACAAACAAAAGGAAGTTCTTCACACAATGCACAGTCAACTGATGGAACTTGACAGAGGATGTTATGATGACTAGGACTTTTAACTGGGTTAAAAAAAATAATTAGATAAATTCATGGATGATAGACCATCGATGACTATTAGCCAGATGGGCATGAATGGTATCCCTGGCCTCTAACAGAGGCTAGGAATGGGAAACGGGATGGATCACTTGGATTACCTGTTCTGTTCATTCCCTCGGCACACCCAGCACTGGCCACTATTGGCAGATAGGATACTGGGCTAGACAGACCTTTGTGCTGACTGAGTATGGCTGTTTTTTTTGTCTTTCTGAATTGAAAAATACTATTTCTTTTGGGGTTTTTTACAGAAAATATTTGTAAACAAAAAATATAAAGGGGGAACTGTACAATTTATATTCTGTCTTGTAATTTAAAATCAATATATTTTAAAATGTAGAAAATGTCCACAAATATTTAAATAAATAGAATTCTATTTTTCCCAGTGCAAGTTATCATGATTAATTTTTTTTAATTGCTTGACAGCCTTAATTGAAACATCTGGCCAACTACAATTCAATACACACATAGAGCATGTCTAGACTGTGCAAAATGACCAAAAGAAGATATGCAAATTCCATGAGAATTTGCATATCTTCTTCTAATTGCACTTTTGAAAGCGGACTTTCAAAAATGAAAGTAGTTTAGATGCAACTTAACCCCCCGTCGAAAATCCGTGTAAACCTCCTTTTTTGAGGAAGAGCTGCTTTTCGATGAAGGGGAGAGTGGCTTTTCAAAAAAGCCACATCTTAATTACTTTCACTTTCTGCTTTTGAAAGTGCAATCGGAAGAAGATATGCAAATTCCACAGGACCGTTCCTTGTAGTCTACATGAGCCCATATAGTATGAAGGTATTGAATATACCAAATTGACAGGACCTGCTTATTACCATAATAATTTCTATATCTGATCTAATCACAGGATAAAATTTAGAACTCATAATTACAGGTGGCCTTAGTACCATGAAGTATCAAAGAAATGGCAGGTACACTTTGTTTTCTAAAGCTCAAACTGACTTTTCAACACAACTAGGGGTGTTAAAATTAGATTAATCAACAAAGAAAAAAACTGCAGCCCTGACAGAACTGGGATGGAACCCAGAACTGCTCAGGTCAGCCACTCTCAAGGCAGGGCCACTGTGAGCTGCATGTGTGCTCATGGCTCATGCAGTTCCACTCACAGTCCTCAGCACACTGCATTATACTCAGCACGTGCAGGCTAGGTCACACACAGCAGTTCAGCCTGTGTGTGCCAGCAGCCGGCTGCTGAGCACAGGCAGTGGAGAGGGCTCCGGGTGAGGTGGCGGTGCCAGTGGTGGCTCCGGGACCTGGGCATAAGGTTAGTGGGGAAGAGAAATTGGATTAGAGCATGGGGGAGATGTCTGACTCTGGAGACGGGAAGGGAAGGGAAGGAGAGAGGAATCGGGTGTGGGAGGGGTTGCGCATGGCGTCCCAGATGCACTTGGTGGTAGCAGCAGTTCTGGCTCTGGGACCCGAGCATAAGGTGGGGGGGAAGAGGGATTGGGTTAGAGCATGGAGGGGAGGTGTCTTGCTCTGGGGAGGGGGATTGACTTGGGGGAGGGGGTGCATGGCATGCTGGCCACTCAGTGCATGCACCCCAACGCCTGGAGGGAGAAGAATGTGGCTGTAGCAGTGGCAGCTCTGCCTCCGGGACCCGAGAAT